CTAAAAGCTTCTTATTGGCAATTAGATTTCAAGAACTGATTGTTCCACTTCAACAGAAACACAAGTGCTAATTTGTCAGGGAACACCGTGGCACTAGAGGAAAATATATCGATGGCAAAAAAGTATTGATTGTCAAAGGCAGGCGGGATACAGGTTCATTTTTCAAACTCTTACTGGAATTAAATGTGTGCCATGTTTGGAAAAAAACTTCAAGTAGCTCCGTTTTTAATACCCCGCTAGGAAATAATTTTGCTTTTAGTAATCCCTAATGTCCTCAGATATTTTAGAAGTGGACAGTTACTTTTTTTTACTGTTAACATTTTTACTGTTTTCACTCATTTAATCAGGTTGATTGTTTGTCTAAGTTTCTAATCAAGCTGGCAAAGAAGAGACCCAGAAACATGAAGGATGTCCAGATAGTGAAATCATCCCAAGTGCTGTCTCAAATGCTATTTTAGTAAGTCTCTGATGTTTTACCAATCATTTGTTACAAGTAAACTCTGGCATTTCTACAATATACAGAAACAAAGTATTTAACACACAGAGAAACATCCTGAAGTAATTTTATGAAAAAAGATTGTGCTTTTATTTTTATATAACAGGTATTCCTAACTATTGCATGTGCCTTCAGTTTTGGAGAACTAAGTGCATGGATGCCAATGGTATGTGAATTTCAGCTACTCAGGAGAAGAGAAGCTAAAGGAATATCAATATGTAAGTGCAAATAAAATTGGTGCTTTAAGAATACAGCTGGAGTTTGTTTTTTAAATTGAAGGAATTGTTGACAGACTAACTCCATATAAATCCTTGAAAATGAGGGTTGGACAAGAGAATTAACAGATTCTGCATCAAATTTTCTTAAAGTGGCAGGCATTTCATCACATCCCCTTAATAGGAATTTATTTTTCCTGGGCTACTGTATGCTCTTCTCAACGATATACAAGAGAGAGGGATTTTAGGTGTTTGTTAATTATTTCCCATCCTCAGTATTTAAGTAAAGATGTTACTTTTATGCATCAAACCAGCAACCAGTTCAGTTATCCAAATCCTAATATACAATGACAATGTATTGAGCCTTACAAAATAGATAGCACCGTATTTCTTAAACCAGGTTTATTAGAGGAATGGTCTTCCAGGAATTAACACTCAATCTGTGAGCGGGGCATTCTTCGCAAGCTTAAAGAATGCCGGTGTATTTCCTGCAGCTGCCGTATTCTATCCTTTTGCCACATCAGATTTTGCGGCATAGGGTATCTTTGTGTACCATGTAAGCATCTGAATGGGATTCTTACATGGCAGGCTGTTGCTCTGCAGCGAGGCTGCGGCATGGGAGGGAGAAGCATCCATCGCTTTCTCTCAGCACAATAACGGTAGGCCTCTTTTCTGTATTGCTTATCTATATCATCACTGTTCTTCCACCCACCAATGATGAAAACATCATCTTTAAAATAGCAAATGGCTGCCCCTTCAATGCTAAGAACTTCTGGAGGTAAACTTTCAAGAATCTCTTCTGGTATTCTGCCAGAGATCTTTCTCTTAGCCTCTTCATTATCTATGGGGTAACTCTTGGGGCAGCATGATGCTGTCTGATAAAAGTTTGTGTTGGCAACAGACATCTGAAAAGAGCAGTAGTTATCAATGAGTGGCAGAGATTCGATGTCTTGCCAGTGCCTTGTCTCTGTGTCATATCTGGTAATGACTGCCCTTAAACCATCTTCACTATCATCAACTGGGGTTCGAGCAGCAATGTAAACAAATCTATCTTCTATGGTGACTGCTTTGACATCACGAAGGATCTTTGGGGCTGACTCCAGGTTGTGCCATTTGTCTTGCTCGGGATTGTAAATGGTTACATCTTTAAAGCCAGGACTGAAGTTACCATGTCCACCAATACTGTACAAGTTCCCCTTGACTTCAGTGAGGCCAAAAGAATGCTTTCTGGTTATTAGATGAGAGACTTGCTCCCAGACATTTCTGTTGGGGTTGTACTTTTCTACAGTCTTGGCAAAGCCAGGTTCCATGGAGCCAGCCACATAAACATATGATTCTGTAACAGCAACAGCATGTCCATCAAGGTGATTATGTATGTGAGGTAAGTTTACCCACCTATCTTCATCAATGAAATACCCCACACACTCACTTAAATAATCCCCTCCCTCTGACACACCACCGATCACCATGATGACATCCATGTTCTGCCCATAGCGAGGCAGCAATGCTACAGGATAAGCAGAATGTTGTAAATTACCAGACTGCAAGTTCTCAGCCCTCAGGGCATGATTTTCTACAGCTTCAGACACCAATTTAAGACAGGCTTCATTACTGGATACTAGCCTTTCAGATTTGACATGCCGGGTAAGGTAAGTGGGTTTCATCTGAGACAGTCTGAGCAGTTTAAAGAGTTCTTCAAAGTACCTCTCTCTTTCGTCAGCGTTTCTCTGAACCCACTTTAACACAGTCTCAAAAAGAACTTCTTCAGAGTCCACTGTGATTTCCAAGTCTGAAAGCCAGTCTCGGATGAGGTGAAAGGGTAATGTGTAGAACTCTTCATCTTGGATAACTTTGCAGAAGTTCCTTCTTATCATGTCTGCGGCTTTCAGGGCAAGCTGGTTCAAGGAATACATATGAGCTAAGCTATGAATAGCCACACAGTTGGAGAGATTCAGTTTTTTCTTCAGAAACTCTCCACAGAATTCCTTTAACCGCATCAATAAAAACCTGAAGAGCAAACAAAGATGAGTTAAGCCATGAACTGAGGGGAGTGAGGTTAAATCCAATCATATGTCTTTAACAAAAATGTGTTCATACTGCACAACAGCCAAGTTCCTGATGTACTTTAGGAAGTCAATGTTTCATAACTGTTCTTTTAACAGCCCCCTTTAGCCATCTTGTAGCCTACAGATACTTTCAAGGGCCGCAAGCCAAATTGCAATACTGGCTCCGTTTACTAGGTATATTAACTGCTGGTGGAAGGGGGCACCTATTAGATCAGTGCATTTAAGTTCAGATGCCTCCAACCAGTCCACTGTAACCTCTAGTGAATTATCCCCTAAGGGAGATGAATTTGGTATGTCCAATCTCCAGGGTGCAGCTCAGCGAAGCTCTTTGGAGGTTAGGAATGCTGTGCATGATGTGTGCCCCCTCCCTGAAGGGAAGCTTTGATCCCTTCACCTTCAGAGAATTCAGGAGCTGTAAAATTTAGCTAAAAGAGGTGGGCCTAATTATGAGGGTACAGAGATGAGAAGATGGCATAACATGATCCTGCTCCTATAGGAAGGACATAGGACTCAGGAGAGCATGCCACTACTCCACCCCCACTACTGGTCATCCCTCCACATCTCCCCTGCCAGCTCCAGCATCCTCCCCCCATTCCAATGTAACCACTTCATGAGTAGCTGCTGTCCTCCAACCCCCCTCTCTTGCCCACCACCTCCAACCCACCATTTCTGCACTTCACTTACTAGCCACCTCCATCACCTTCTCTCCCTTGCCCCTTCACCTGCGCGCCTGTACTACACCAACTTTTACCTTTCTCCACTGTGCCTCCCTGCCCCCTCGCCTATCTCCCCCCCACACACACACCACTCTAGCTACAAACAAACCAGACCACTGACTAGGGTGACAGATTTAGCCTGGCTACCCCAAATTTGAGTGCCGCCCCATACTGCACTAGATCAAAACGCCACTCACTGAAATTTGGCGCAGCCAACCCTTCATCTGACAGTGAAATGGCCAGGCCAAGTCTACCATAGGCCTATGGGGGAGGGGGGGTGGCAACATATTGAAGTTTTACGGGGGGGGGGGGGGAGGGAAGATTGGCTTGGGCAGCCTCTGGCCAATCTCTTCCCTCCAGTCACTTATCAGCCACCTCCTTCCCCACGCCCCCCATCTATGGGCCACCTCGGCCTATCCCGGCCTGCCCCAGCCCCCCACACTCCCCCTCACCTCAGCCCCCGGCACCTGCACTTCCCCCTGCCCGCCCCACCTTCTGCCCTGTCCCTCCCCTCACCTGTCGGCCACCCTGGTCCACCCCCACCTCCTGCCCTTCCCCCCCCAGGCCTGCCCCTCACCTGTCGACTACCCCTGGCCCACCCCCACCTCCTGCCCTTCCCCCACCCCCTCACCTGTCGGCTACCCTGGCCCATCCCCACCTCCTGCCCTTCCCCCCCAGGCCTGCCCCCTCACCTGTCGGCTACCCTAGCCCACCTCCACCTCCTGCCCTCCCCGTCACCTCTCGGCTGCCCCGGCCCACCTCCTGCCCTTCCCCCCTCCAGCCTCACCCCCTCACCTGTCGACTACCCCGCCCCGCCCCCTCACCTGTCGGCCATCTCCAGCACCTCGTGCACGTTGCCCGGGCTGACGCGGATGCTGCCCGTGTACATGAAGCCGACCACCGCCTCCACCGTGTCCGGCTCGGGCCCCCCCTCCGAGCTCCACTTCCGCAGCTCCACCCGGCCGGAGCGCGACTCGGCGAAGCCGCCCGACAGCAGCGGGGTGAAGTAGTCGGTGGCGGCGGCCAGCACGGAGCGGTGGGCGCGGACCTCGCGGAGCGGCCCGGCGCCGCCCCCGAAGGCCAGGGTGATGTCGCAGAAGAGGTCGAGGCGGCGCTGCTCGTTCTGCCGCCAGGCCAGCTCGCTGCAGTGCGCCGGGCACGCG